GTTTCTCAAGTAAACAGAATAATTGTTCTGGTCATCTTGCAGCGTCTGAACAAATTAGGTCTATAAAGTTTGTGGTTTTTCATCAGTGGCAGTTCCAGAAAATGTTGTTAGAGGCGGCCAGTTAGCTCTATAAAAAGGACAGGAAAGCATAAAACAACTCAAATTAGTGGAGCCAAAATCAAACTCTAATTGCACTCTGTAACAAACCATACTAAACAGGTTGGGGGTCGTTGTTCATCAGTGGCCGTTCCAGAAAAAATGTATAGGTTTGCACAGAGGGGAGGATGAAAATTAATAGATGTCAAAAACATTTAAAAGTCAATCTCTGCTGATCACAATAAACAAGAACATGAAATCAAACATCTTATTTTCCAAATAAATCACTAAAAACAGACCAGATTTCCATGAGGTCCTTGGGAATGAAGCTCCGCTCATATTAATACATTAGTGGAAGTTAAATAAAAATGTTTTCTAAATAATCACTCGAGCTGATCTAACAACTTCTGTCATTCAATTTTTTTACTTTAAATTGCATTAAAAATCCTTCCCTTGTTGGTTTATGTTAGAGTTTGCAATTAGGTTTTTAAACTTGTTTGATTTTTTTGTTGATAATTAATTTGAATCCTTCTTTTATGTCTGTTGTAAAAGAAATGCTGTGTTAGCCTTAGTTCTAAAATGCTCTCTTGGTTTTTCCTTTGAATCCAGGAGCAGTGAAGTACCTGGAAAGCTCAGTCAGTCAAATAAAAAGTCTGAGCTTTTTGTCTTGGAGTTTACGTAGTAATGCTGAGCGGCCAGTAGATGGCAGCATTTTTTTTTATATTGAACTAAATCCAGTCTCCTTATGTGAAACACATCCATCATATAATACATGAAATCAGCTCAGTTCACAAAGTATTAAAAACAAACTCATTTATTTTTTTTATTTACTGACAGCCTCTCTAACTTAGAGTGGTATAAAATATTATTGTATTCTCTATCAAATTAACAAATTTTATCCTTAAAGACAAACATTTTATAATTTTTCATAATTTTAGACTTCTAAATATGATGAATATAAAAACAGGAAATGGATTCAGTGGTTCTACTGTCATCAGATGCTGAATAAGACATTTACAGAGTGGAGCATTTATTTATGTTAGAGGTTTTTAAGTGTTGTGGTTTTGGTGAATATTTTATCAAATGGAAATTTCTATCATAGTCAAGTTTAGAGTGATTGTAATATTTCTAAAAAGTATATATATCAAAATAAAAA